AGTATATATAGTAATAATAAGTAATATATAATAATAATAATAATATATATATATATATATATATATATATATATATATATATATATATATATATATTGGGGATATGTACACATGGCCACTATTGGTGAAAGTCATGTGAGTCCCATTTTCACCCTTCTCTGCTGTTTGCGCTAAGCTACACCAAGAACTTAAAAGTATAGTTAACTTCTCTGAGACTGCACGATTGTTCGCGTTCTTAAAAAGATCTGAACATCTCTCCACATACGATAAACCCAGCAGACTGTTCACCATACCGAGGAAAAGCACTCCCTCGTTTAGGGTTTTCAAGTTTTAAGGATTTGAGGTTCAAACCCCCTAAAAAAAGGTTGAAGGTATAGGGCCAATGCTGCCCTGTCTGGACATAGCTCATTACCCATATGTTACTACACACGCCTTCATTGCCTTAAACATAGCCTCTGAGTGGGGTGGTGCGTGCTACCCTCATTCCTCTCTCTTTAATTTGGACCGATACATCATCCCCCGTGACCATCTAGTCATGCTATAACTGTAAAACCCTAAAATCCTAAAACTGCAATTACCTACAGCCCTACCCCCCCTAAAACACCCTTGCCCATCTACACCTCCTCACACACACTCCTCGTAACCAAGTACATGCACATCACATTAGCGTCTATGTACCCCACCTCACGCACCCTTAAACATCTCACCTCACTCACCCTGCTGCATCTTTCCTTGTTTTCTATTACCCCCAGGCGGCAGTGGTATCAGGACCCTTCCCGCTCATTCTGACCACCAACTGGGATGCGTCACTCGAGGCCGCGTACGACTACTTGGAAGAGTTCGACGTCTGTTGGCCTTTAGAAAGGCCCCGCTCAGACCACTTTCACCGCATGTCGAGCTTTCTGCCAGTTCGGTACAGACGAGACCATCAGCAGTTGTTTGCCGAGATACGCGCGCACCTACAGCCGCCAAGGTGTGGTGAGGTGGATGGGTTTGTGTGTGTCTGTGTACGTGTCACATACCCTGTGTAGTGCGCTTATTTCCTTTGTAGGTGAGCTATCTTTCATTCGTATCTATAGTGTATGTACCATGATGAGGTGGATGGGTTTGTGCGTGTCTGTGTACGTGTCACATACCCTATGTAGTGTGATTATTTGCTTTGTAGGTGAGTTGTCGTTCATTCGCATACGTTCAGTGTATGTACTGTGATGAGCTCAATGGCTTTGTGAGTGTAGTGTGCTTATTTACTTTGTAAGGGAGTTATCTCTCATTCGTATATATAATGTATGTACTGTGACGAGGTGGATGGGTCTGTGAGTATCACATACCCTGTGTAGCGTGTATATGCTTTGTAAATGAGTTGTCGTTCATTTTGTGTATATAGTGTATGTACTATGATGAGGTGGATGGGTCTGTGTGTACCCTATACTTTATATCGTATACCCTATACCCTATACCCTATATCATATACCCTATACCCTATACCCAATACCATATACCCTATACCCCATACCCTGTACTCAATACCCTATACCCTATACCTTATAACCTGTACCCTATACCCTATACCCTATACCCTATACCCTGTACTCAATACCATATACCCTATACCCGATACCCTATACCCTATGCCCTATACCCTATACCCTATACCCTATACCCTATACCCTGTACCCTAAAACTCTTGCCCTCACACTGTTTAGAGCCAGGCGGTTAAAACTTGTGGACTGCTCCCTCACAGATCTTTGCTTCATATGTTTGAGCATACGGTCGTGTCTGGCACTAGCTGATAGTGTTTGTGTGTGTGCTGTCCTGTTAGTGTACGTGTGTGGGAATACTCAGAAGAAAGGTATGTATAGACTATTCACATTGGCTGCCCTGGTGAGATGCACTGGATGCACCTGAATACCAAAGCAAGTATTAACGTCTAGCAGACGGGATGTATATACGTTTCATCACCCTGAGGGGAACTTGGAAATACGATCATATACGGAAAATAAACGTATATTTCCAATCATTAATAAATCTGCTGTGCTAAATACCAATAAAGGAACAACCTCGATATGAAAACGTCCATACACTGAAAGTAAAAGCACTTATTACCTATAAATCAGTAGCAAACGTACGGTGCAGCATATCATATAGAAACACCTGTAACCTCATTCGTAGCATTCTGAATGTCCACACGTAGAACCACCTGTAAATGTGTATACACCATGTAACACTTACATATACATTGGCACATACAATAAATACATCTATACACACATACCACATACATATATATTAACGCATACAATCTATACATCTATACACACATACCACATACATATATATTAACGCATACAATATATATATCTATGCACACATAACACATACATATATTTAACGCATACAATAAATACATCTATACACACATACCACATACATACTCTTTGGTCCCCTTCTGAATGTCCCCAGGTTGCTTAAGCTACATGGTGATTTGACTGACAGGGGGAAGAAAGAGATCGTCGCCGGATATGGCGACTATCGCGCACTCATGGCACGTGACACAGGCTTTAAGCAGCTGCTGTCTAACGTCTTCACATCGTATAGGTAGGTATATGTGTAGGTGTATGACCTATGTGTTCACCCGTGTAGGTAGGTATATGATATGGCGACTATCGCGCACTCATGGCACGTGACACAGGCTTTTAAGCAGCTGCTGTCTATCGTCTTCACACCGTATAGGTAGGTATATGAGTAGGTGTATATATATATATATGTATGTATATACATATCACCCATTTGCCACCCCCGGCCTTCTGGCTGTACATTCCCACTGCACGAACACACAACCACTACCTGTGCATAAGCCGGACCTACCTACCTATGCCACACCCACAGCATACTGTTCTACGGATGCTCGCTATCTGACCCAGACATCCTCGCCAATATGGATGGCATCCATGAGACTTTAGGCCCAGAAACAGGCCCCCATTTCTGGCTAACTGCCGACCATGTCACAGAGAGTAGGAAGACCTTTCTGTGGGAGCAGGTACGTGGTGTACTGCTTATGTTTTAGGGTTTGTGGCCAGATGAAGTTAGAGAGTTTAGATTGGTGTCTTCGATATATATATATATATATATATATATGTGTGTGTGTGTGTGTGTGTGTGTGTGTGTGTGTTGGTTGTTGTGTATA